GAGAGCTGTGGAGGAGAGTGTTTCTCTCCTGGGTTTTCAGTAGTTCCAGTGTGATTTTGATGCAGATCAATTCTAGAGCAAGCCAGTATCCCTATCAGAGTTCCATTTGGAGTCCTGCTGAGCTGTTCCCTTCATGTCTCCTCCCTGAGGGATGGCATTTCCCTCTCTAACTTCCCCCTTGCCCTCCACCTCTCCCCCATGTTCAGCGGTGGGAGGGTTAAGGCCGTGCTCAGGCACTTGGCACCTGAAACCTGGCAATCTCCTCTTTCCCTTTAGATGGAAGAAGTGCCGGGCAGATAAGCCTTGGAAGTCTGAGAGAAATCATTCCCCACAAACAGGAAGTCTTTGCTGCTCTTCAAGTTATTTAATGAAGTCTCCTTACTCTTAATTGCACCATCTTTAACCAGTCATCCAGCTCCTTGTTGTTCCAACTGTGGCACTAACACTTGGTGCATTTGGTACTGTGCTTTCTCAACAACATCATCCACCACATTCCCCAGATTCCTGACTTTGATCTTGTGCCAGGGTGTACATAAGCATAAGCCTAGTTTAATGGAGTGAGTTGTTCCCCAGAAGGGCTAGGAAGGCAGATGGGCTTTAAGGATGTGGCTTCCTGAGCTCCCCAGGGCTGCAGGGCAGGAGGCAGCCTGTATCGGGGGATGCTGCCTCGCTACACTAAGCATGCAGAGTGCCCAGCAGCCTGTGACGTGCTTCATGTGGCTTATTCCCACAGAATGGGGTGCTTGGTGCCCACGGGCTGGGGTATTCGCATGTCTAGAGAAAACAAGCAGCCTGATCCCGGTGTCCCTCCCGGTCCGGCGTTGCTGCTGCTTGTGTGATGATGGGCTTGTGGTTGGCAGGGGAGCTGGTGCCTGCAGCCAGCAGCACAGGTCGTGGCTCTGTCGGGCTCAGGCTTGGGCTTATCACTACAGAGGCACGTGATTTTATAGCTGCTCACTCGCTTTCTGGATGTGCTGTATCCACACAAGTAGGGCAAAGGTGGACACGGGAGGAGTGCCCACAGGGAAGTGGGTGCTATGGGGCTGTGCCGTCGGATTCTGATCACGGGGCACACTGTAAGTCTAATGAAGTTGTTATCGACGCGCTTTCACTGGACCTGCCAACCAGCTGGAGGTGGAGAGGCTGCAGCTTAGGCGGGGAGGACGTGAACGCGGTGCTGTGAGTCGTGCTACAGTGAGGCGAGGAGCCCTGCTGGAGGTCAGCACGGGAGGCAGCTCCTGCCCCTGGAACTCTGCTGAGTTGGCAATTCCCAAAGTGAAAAAAGAGTGTGTGGGTCCTGTCTTAGCAAAAGCTGAAGCTTGGGAATGCCCCAGAGCAGGGCAACCCAGTCCTCTCCAGGCTAGGTGTGCAGCGTGGCTGTAGGTGCCTGCAGAGCACCTGCATGCTGGCAGCAGAGTCGTGCAGGAGGGAGCAGGAGTTTGGCCTCACCAGTTAGAGAGAAGGCCAAGGCTGGTAGTCTGCAGTGGTGAGAGGAGTTCTGTTGGGCTGCCAGGGTTTTGGTGAGGTCCAGGAGCTCGGTGAAACAGAGCTATTGAGGGCTTACGGAYGGGGAAACGCTAGCAGAAATGGGCAGCCTGGCCCATGCACTGATTCATCTTTGGTGTCACTGCCGAGCCCCCCGTGGGGCTGTGCAGTCCCGCAGCGATGCTGAAGCRGCCTGTGGGGCTGGATGGTGGCAGGGAGGCTCCGGGCTGCAGGGGCAGCGGCCTCCCGAGTGCGCTCGGCTGCCGCCGCTGCTCCCTGCGGACTGCGCTGCTCGCTTGCCCGTCCAGCGCCAGCCCGAGCCCTCTAGCGGGCACTGCCCGGCGCTCTGGCCACGTGGCCCTCCAGGCCGAGCAGCCTCCCTGGCTGCTCTTCTGCAGACAAAGCTGCCCCTGGGGACCGCGGGGGTGATTCGCTRTTTATGTGCTACCAGGAAAGCACGAATGGGGGAGCGCTCAGCATGGGAGTGAGGACTGGGTACCTCCCGGGGAAACAAGGTCCTCGGAGGCAGCTGGGGGAAATGCAGTGCCCGGAGAAGGAGAGGGGAGGTTGGGGTAGGTGTCCAGGGGCCCGGGCCTGTTCAGCAGGGCTGCCTTGGCCCTCAGCTGTCGGAGCTGATGGAGCAGGGCTACATCACTGGGGAGCTTGGATCGCTGTTCAAATCGAAGTGAGTGTTCTGCTTGGAGAGGGGGGAAAAAAGACATCTTAAAGAGTCTTAAAAGTGTGTGGGTGGGGAAAGGCAACCCAGGGCTTGCTCAGACCTGCTTTGTCCCGCTGAGCAGTTGGCTGTCGCAGTCAAGAGAACCACTGTTGGTGAGTGCACAGGCTTCTAGGGGAGGCTGCAGTGGAAATAGGTCATTTCCTTGACTGTGCTAGAGTTCCTTTGAGACAGGAACAGCCCACCCGCTTCTGGGGTACGTCTAGGTGTGCAATCTACTGCAATTGACAGGCTGTAAATAAGCTGAGCCAGACTTGTTTTAATATAATAGCCTTTCTTCGTTGCTAGCAGAGTGAGGATTTGAATAGCTGACAAAGCAGCCTCTGCAGCTCTCCTGGAGCAACAGCTGCTCAATGGATATACGTAACAAGCGGAGCACTAATCCTTGGAGACTTAAACTGGCTTTCRTGTGATCGGTGGGGAGGTGCAGCAYTACTTAAAATAGTGTAGATTCTTGATAGAGCAGAAAATATCAGCTTCYGAATCCCTCAGAATGCAGGTTTATTTTAACAATGGCTGTTGTGCTCCTGCTCTATCTCCAGGAGCACGGTGTGGGCAGCTGAGGTAGCACTATACACAGCACGCTCCCCATTTAGATCTGAGTGGAGTCCGTTTTGGATTTAATGGAACATCAGAAAATACACAGCCTAAGCACTAGAGAAGACTTCACGTCAGGATTCAGTAGGGTTTATTCTACAAATCTTAGATCGATGCCAATGATACAAGTCGTATGAATTCTCATTAAAAATACAAGTCAGTATAAAGATTCCAATAGTAATATAATGCATGATGAGTCAGTTTTAAAACTTAAGGAATGAATCTGTGTTTTGGACCATGCTACAGAAAAGGGGAATACAACATGAAGAAAGAATATTTAGTTTACCTCCAATAGTTTAGGAGGGGCCTGTGCCTTATTGCCACGATACCTGAAAAAGCAACATGAAGTGCATAGCAGCCTTGCCTGTACAGTCTCTAGGCAAAACTATTGAATTTAGTATCCGCCTCTTCTCCCCCCTCTTCTGTAAATTAAGATCCATTTTGATAGCCTGATATCACTACAATAACTTAAAGCTATAGCAACATCATCCCCCACAATGATTGCAACACAACAGTCCTTTGGACAGTAAAATGTTCATCTAATGCACTGAAATTCTTCCCCTGTACCAAGAATTTTACCAGACATTTCCAGGAATGTTAAATACTGATTCAAATCAAATGCAATTTAGTTCCATATTCAAAATTCCTCTCTGATTTTAAAACAAAATGATTATTGCTAAGTCTCAGTGCAGTCTAATACTTGAGTGTGTTGTCATAGCTTCAGGCACAATTAGAGTATAATCAAATACTTCTTTGAACCTAGCTCTCAGATATAATGAAAGCTGTAAGAGCTTTCACAAATTCCTTGGCATTTGGCCACCCAATTGCTAGATCCAACGCTTTGGAATAGGGGAGACAACGAGCTTTTCTTCAAGCTGCCTGCACTTAGAGAGGATTAGGCTTAATAAAGTCATAGTCTAAGCCTAAATTTCAAAGGAACAGTTTACTTGTCACAAGAGGCAACTTTTGATGAGATGTGCACCCGCATTCTTGACGTACACCTGTTGATTCCTTGTGGTGCTTTCACCATGTCAAAAGTAAGTTGTGTCCCTCTTGTTGAGCCCAGTCCTTTCTTCTAGCAGAACCATATTAACATTACAGAGCAGGTATCATGCATCTGTCTGCAGAAGCAGACAGGGAAACTAGGCTTAACAGCAATTCATACATTTCCAAACAGAGTTTTGGTGCAGACAGTTACATTGAACTGAAACTCAGCTTTTATCAAAATATGAGCATAATACAAAATCCAAAAACACTGCCTATAAAGAAGCTGCTGCCTTCCACGCATCAGTGAAAGAAAAMCCCCCCTTGCATAAATGGACCGGCAGCACAGAACAAGCACAGACTTGGCTGTACATATTCTCTAGGAATCTGCAGGGATTCTCCAACCACCATCCCACTGTAAGGTTTAACATTGTAATGGTGCCAAAATCTTGCATCAAGCCCTCATGCAGGAATAATGGGAATTTCTTCTTCCCTACTGAATGCTGCTGCGCTTGCTCTGAATACATATTATCACTCTGCTTTGTCCTTGCAGTTGATGCATCTTAGACTCTTAACAGTCACGTTAAGTCTGAAGTAAAAAAAGTTCAGTAACCCACGTTGGGCTTTAGTACTGGTCAAGGTGACGACAAAATACAAGGATGTCAGTAAACTGCATATATAATAGAAAAAAGGTTTACTTTGCATTTAAGTCACATTTAATACAAGACAAGTTGATCAGAAACAGTGAACTGATTCTATCTGGAGCAAAGTATGGCACAGATTCCCAATATCTATGGACACTGTGTAAATAACACGTTTTTCACTCTTTGCAATGATTATCAATTCGCCAAAAATAGTTTAACAGTCAAAAGGGAAGAGTGAAAGAAAACAGATTTAGGAGACAAAATAAAAAAAAGTCTATGAAGTGAAAATAAGTGACTTTTTACTTTTGTAAGAAACTTTATTTTTAAACTTCTCATATTAAAAATGCATTCTCTCCTCAGAACAAATGCCACCGTCAAAAAAAAAAACCAAAAAAAACCAAAAAAAAACCCTGCAGTAGCACATGCTTGCACTCAAAGGAAAACATGCAAAACTGATGGCTGAAAAAAAAGAAAAAAAAATCCAATCTGCATAAAAATCCAAGACTTCAGGCAAAAGTTTGCCCCCCTGTGCATCTAGGGAGCCTGGACCATAAACATCTTTCAGTGCAATGTCTCTTGCTTCCAATTGGTGGGGAAACATATGGCAGAAGCTTGTCTTCTGACAGCTAGACTCTCTCCAGATGTTTGAAGCAAAAACAGTTTCGGCTAGATTTTAAAATATCCTGGTTAAATTGTTGCAGGAAGTACAAACAGAATTCAATAAAATGTCAGACTCCAGTGAAGAAAAAAACTTCTCAATTCTACCCTGTGCCATACACTTCTTTAAAAAAAAAAAAAAAAAAAAAAAGACAGAAAAACAGATTTTATTAATACACCCTCTTTAAAGGTTGTTTTTTTTTATTTCTGAAAGCAGCTCTTTATGCAAATCAAAAGCAGTTCCTGAGTAACTGCAGTAAACAGTGTCTTTTAAATATTTTTGCGCCTCAGCTCTTCTGTTTTGGTTCTCCTTGTTTTTCTCCCTAGTTTTCAAGTTTAAACTCTGTTCTTTTTTTCAAAAAATGTGCAAGTTCAGTTAGCATCATTCCAGAAGTCCACAGCTTGCAGGTCTTCCTGCAGCAACTATGAGATCTGCACGTGTGCTAGGTTGTGTTCCTATAGCTATTGCAGATTTTGCTCTCAAACCTGTACAGCATGCACCTTCACGTCTTCTTCAGCAGACGCCGGGACTGCCACGTGTGGAACTTGTTGTAGGCCGTCTGCAGCATCTCTTCTATATGACTTATCAACTGAAAGATGAAAGGGAAATTAAATTGTCCCAACTAATAAAAAAAATAGACCTTCTCCTCTCCTTGATCAAACAGGTATTCTGTTGCACTTTCCTTTTTACTCACTAAAATGAGTTATCTCACTACAACCAAGGAACCATGCTAAAGTTTAAAGAGAAAAAGTTTACAGCTTAGTTATGTCTGTAAAGGTGGTGGGTAAGAGGGCTACCAAGGTGACAAGGGCACAGGGAAGTGGTACCTGAATATGCAAACCCTCTGTTGCAGCATTTAGGCTGGGACTGCTTCCCACCAAATCAGATTTCAAGTAGCAAAATTTCTACCTTATGGCGGGAGTGGAAAACTGAAATACAACTTCCCATCTTTGTTGTCTAGTTTGGGTAACCTGAAATCATAGCTTTAAGCAAGTTTTTTTGTAGTTGTTCATGAAGGTTTATAGGAAGAAATGGGGGCAAAAAAAAAGCATATGGATTGTGTACCTAATTCCCAACTCTCAGTTTTCTAGCTAAGAAAGAAATTAGTCCCCTAGGCAAGATGAAACAAACCTACCATCTAGTGACAAACATGATTCAAATTTTAATTAAATGGGTGCCTATTAATACTTAAAATGGTATTTCCACTTACGTTTGTGCTTAAATACTGTCTCCGAATCTTCTCTTGGAATGGGCAGAGCTTTGTAACCTGAAATCTTTCCAAGTTACTCCTCATTTTCACAACCTGAAAGAGATACAAAAACCGATTGTTGGCCCCAAAGCTTAAAAAAATAAGTTCCCCAATAAAACACACGGTAACTAATCTGGGGGGCTCTCTTAAACTTGCATAGCTTGAGGAAGAAGAGTTACTAAGCTACCAATCTCTAGCTTAATTCTTGAGTGTCTGTTTATTGTCACTGTGAGTGTACCGTGCCTGGGAATACAGGGTGGCAATGCGATAAGTTAAGTGTGAACAACGCTCAGTATTCATAAAATACATCATCTTCCTGGCCTCAAGCAAAGGCTGTACTATAGGTTTTCCAGTATACACTTTGCAGCATCTCTCCTTAAAGCAACTTCTTTTTCAAGTTGTATCTGTATGTTCTGAAGATCCGACTGAGTGGTTTTTCTTATGGAGAGAAGGATGATGTGGACAAAAATGTCAGTATCACTGCTCTGGTTATGTCTTAAAGTTGGGGAAAAGCAGCTTGGGTCTGTTTGTAAGCTGGCGATGAAATCTGCAGTTTGAATATACCTGACCATTTTGTCTGAAATTGTCTGAGCAGCCTACTGAACCCTACTGAAGGGCCCTAACGGGCATGTAGGGATATTTTTAATCAATAGCACCTATAGAATTGCTAGAAAATGTAATATTTTGGGTAGCTTTGTGACTTTTGATCTTAAGAAAAAGTGCTGCATTTAAAACATCTTAGTTGTGTATTTCAAGTTACTGCAAGTTGCTTTAAAACTTGATCTAGCCACATCATAACAAGGCCTGCCCTAGGAGGTTCCACTTTACCTTTTCCTCTAGGAATGGCGTGTTAACTGGAAAGCAGGACCAGAAGTGTCGCAGCAGTTCCCCTACTGCCACATACAAGTGTTTTAGTTCAGACTGAACATCATTTGGCACCATCTCTGCAACAGAAGAAAGGCCTTGTTACATCACTCAAAATTACCCTATGTAATATGAGAAAGGAAGGCTAATGAAAGAGTTGAGCAATCTATAGCTAATAAATTCAGAAAAGCTGCACAAAAGGGAAGCCRGGACGTATCTGCTTCAGCCTTGCTCCTCAAGCAGGACTATCAACAGCATTAGATCAGGTCAGCTGCTGATTKGTATTGGGAAGCTGGTGGACTATAAAGGCAGATGTATGCCAGGCAACAAATGGACACCCTGATTAGAAGCGGGGTACTTGTGCTCTGTGCCCAAGCTGACAGTGTGGCAGTACTGCTTTTAGGACTGCTGCTTGTTGCCTTGCTTAGCTGAGAGCCCAAAGGAAGAGSAGCTCTGCTGGCCCAAAGGGGGCACTACGCAAAGGAGGGACTGGATGGAGATGTAAGAAGGATGGCTTGGCTGTTTTGCCTTTGCAATCCACAGGGGTCTTTTCTTTCCTTCACAAAAATCTGTGGATCTTAAAGCTGCAAAAAAAMCCCCTCATTCTGAACAATTTGCTAGAGGTTGCATCCCTAGAGTTCTCCCAAAGCAGAGATTTATTTTCTAAAAATCATAAAGGAAGCAGGAAGCGTGCATTGGAAACATGGGCAAATTTCCTCGGTTCTGTTCTGGCGTGTTTAGTGCAGGGTTCTGAGTCTCTGTCGTTAGCTGAGGACACTTTTGTGCTTGCTCCATGCTGTCTGTGCAGTGAGGTAGGGAGAGGTAWAGCCCCAGAACACAGCAGGCAGGTAGAGATGAAAAGCACAACAAACACTATTACAGAAGCAGTAGGGCACAGAGGAGTAGACCATCTGCTACCAAGGGACAAAAACCAGAAAGCAAAAATGCAATTTGCCCCAAAAGCAGCCTTCGGCCGAACAAGCAAAACCCAGTCTTACTCCAGATAACTTGTGTAATTTCCTTTATCATTATAGCATTGTTTAAGAGAGCAAGAAAATAGCAAGACAGGTGCTACTGTACAGTASAGGAATTTATGATTCAATTTTTATAATGTTAAATCCTTACGGTTTATGGCTTGCTGTGTTCCACCCTGCATAAGTGCTCCTCCAGGTGACAGGACTGCAATAGTGCTAGTAGCATCACTACTTGAAAGAACCTGAAGGGAGAGAGGGAAGAACTTTTCAAACTTTGCCTCTATGGGGAGACAACCCTTTCTATAATGCAGGAAGCAGCTACGTAGCTATTTTGAAATGAGACTGAGATCACCGTTACATTACAGAGATGCAGCACATTCAGAGTTGTGACTGCTTTACTGAGGGCTAAACTTAGATTTACAAGGAGGGGAAATTCAGAAAGTAGCTGGGGAGAGTGACTCTGTGGTTCACTGTCATCGGGCTGCCAGGGCAGAGCTTCTCTGCAGCACATTGTGYAGGAAGATCTACTCCTACCACATCACAAGTTTGGTTGTGCAGATTCTAGTCAAGAACCTAGAAACTTGCTTATTTTAACCTCTTAAGACCATTACATCTTTCACAAGTTTCACAGAACAGGGCCCCGTATTGGTCTCCTCTTCCTGTTGTGTCACTCTCCTGCTTTACAGCTTTGGTAACTTTATCACTTCCATTTCCCCCTAAGAACACAGTAACAGYAGGGTTCAGCTCTAATATCACCAGTGTACCAAGTATTATTTAGTAGTTTATTTCTTAAACTTAAAAGCTGAAAACATATCTGTTGAAGTTGTAAAATGGATTTAACAACACAAAAGTATTGGCGATAATATTAAAATTTATCTGAAAAGAATAAAATTCCAGTAGCTAGAAGACAGATGGTTATATAGAAAGCAAGATGCTAGCATCAAGAGGAGAACTTTTTCCAATATTCTTCCATACCTGAGTTAGTTTGGGTACATATGCTTCCATTTCTTGCCTAATACTATTAAAAGAATTAATTATATCCTGACTGGTTGCATATTGCTGTGATTGAATTGGAGTTGGACCATGATAATACCTGTGAGATAAGGAGAGGAAAAAAAGAGTAGYAAGACTGTTGGTGAAAGGGAAACCAAAGAAAGCGAACAGTTGTTAAAATGTTTTTCATTCTAGATGCTTTGCAACTTTTGACACTATCATTTAAACCTTATTTGCTGCCACTAAAAGAGCCTCCCRTATGGGACGAGGCTGGGTGGCAGAGGGTAGGACAGCAAAATAAGAAAGTCCTTGTTTCTGTGGTGGAATCTGCAAGTCTCATCTTGCTCTGAAAAGCTAYCCCTGCTGCCTTTTTGCTTAGCTCTTGGGCTACCACAGAACAGCAAAATACAATCTATTCTTTGAATCTTAGCTAAATCTAGTTACAGGGACATTTGGAAACATCCTCTTTCCTGTAGTATCCACTCCATTGCTTTGCTAAAGTTACATGTGTGGATATCAAATTCAAAAGTCTATAAAACAAAATTATAGCTACAAGAAAAACACCAGCCCGATACAGTCTCAGATGTCCCAGTTGCACGTTTTTGCCCAGGAGTGGATTTTGCTTAGGATTTTTTATTACCGTGTGCAGCACGCATATTACAAGGTGCARCAAAGTGATGACAGATATGAAGTGAAAGCCCTTTGATTAGGCTTATAAAAATTATAATTAGCTGAAAATCACAAAATCTTACAAGAAGCAATTAYTTGCAAGCTGGTTTATGCAGGAGTTCATATTATGTTTTTAAACTTAACCTAAACATAAATGAATATGCTGTAGTGTAAACGGAATCAGCCGATTCTGTGCTGGCTGTGAAGACAGACGTGCTAGGCTGAACATGCTGAAATATCCATGAATATTTTATTAACTTACCGATCAGATTTCTTTAAGTTTAGTGCAATAGTTTTAATGCTATTATTCTTTGCTAAATCTTCGTATTCGATGGCCTCCTGCAGTTTCACCTAAGTCAAAGAATTAAACACTTTATTACTTTCTTGTTCCCCTTTTGTCAGATAGATCCAGTCCTGCTATATTGTTTGGTCCCCAGTRAAAACTGCAGCTTTCAGGAAAGTCAAAGCTGGTATCTATATACAACAACACACATATTCTAAAGTGTCTTCTCACAGTATGCATAGCTTTTCAGTTGCCCTGCTGTTCTCTCATGTAGTTGTCAGCTACAGCTAGGGAATTCTGTAGCAATACCAGTATTTCCTTCCCATTTTGAGCTGTAATGGTTGGCTTTGCTTTCATTGCACCAGGAATCATTACACTTTCAGCTGAACCTTATTCAGTTTCTGATCTTAAGATGAAGGCTGAAAAAGTACCTTTTTCATGGGTGGCTGAAAGAAATCTGAATCCCTGGAGTTTCCATCCGTACTGCTGGTCTCGCTGCAATGGTCGTTTTGTGCTTCTCTTAAAATAGAGAAACAGCATTAAGAAGAATTCACCTCACAGGAAACTTCAGATACAAATGAGAAACAAAGTAAATGCATCTCTTTCAAACTGTATGTTTATATTAACATATATATCAATTTGCCCTCCCCTTACATCTTGTTCTGCTTTTCAAGAGGGAAATTCAGCAGCAGGGAAGGGTGCTGCTTCCTCTCAGAAGGCTGTGGAAGGCAGCRAAGTTGTGCCTAAATTATAACACTTGTGCTGGGCTACAGGACAAGGGCAGAAACAGCCTTTCCTTCTTTACATAAGATTTGTAGGTTTAAAAATATGTCTAAAAATAGTATTTGCCATCTCAAGAAGCTCCAAAGAGACTSCATGGAAGCAAAATAGAACCCATAGGTATTTTTACTTCTAGATCGTAATTCTCATGTTGCTACACATTAAAAGAAAAGTTGGACAGGAAATTGCAGATGCATTTTCCTTTTCAAAATTAATTTAACTATAAAAAAGCTGTTTAAATGTACTGAAACTTACTGTTTTCTGAGGCCAGCTGCGAGAACCATGGCACTGTGATGATTAAAGCGTTTTATAATGGCAGCATTGCTACTTTCTCGAGCAGATTTTGAGGCATTTGATGTAGAGGCCACAGAAGCTACACCATAGCCCTCCGAGGAAAAGAACATTAGTTACCACCTGCCTCCAAAATTAAAAGCATCATTTTCTGTTGTCCACTGAATCAGGAAAGCTTTATGCCTTAGTCTTTGCACATGTGAMCATTAATGAGTGATCTTGTATCATCTTCTAAAGTAGTATCTTCTGTACCTTTCCCCCTCATCATCTAGGTGTGTTTTGTTTTTTAAAACATCTCTGACGCTGTGTTGACCAGGCAGGCACTGGTGGCAAATAAAGCTATCRGCTGTTTTAAAGATCAGTCCTCAGCATCTTGTGGAGCAGGAGTGGCCCACAGGCAGAATGACACCTGTTGGGAGGACCCATGAGCACTGGGAATCAAAAGCCCTAGAGCCTTAAGGCTGTTTCCCAGGCACCAGGTGGCTGAAGCAATCTCACTACCCCTATCATTTTATACTAGTSAGGCTCTGTTTGCATAGCACTTCAAACACATCTATCCTCAACTTGTAGTTCAGCTTCAGACTGTTAGCTTTAAGTAGCACTTAGTAAAAATGATGATTGTTTTTGTTTTTTAACAAAACCTGAAGTTTTAGTTAAGTCAACTATAGAAAAGTGCATGTGAGTTATTTCTCATACTGGTAGTACACCATTGTTTTATTTTATACTTGGAGGCAAGTAATATTACGCATATTTTTAGCACAAACATTGATGTTTAAAGGTAAGAAAGCAAACTATATAAAGGGTCTCCAATTAAGCTGAATTAAACATGAGCAATGTCCAAAATGAGAATAAATGCAAAAACTTTTCCTATTTGGTATTACTACTCTGTATGCTGCTACAGTTTCTAAAAGGTAGGAAGAAACCAGAGACTCTACTTCAGATAAAAAATATCAAAACATAGAAAATAAATAATTCCTTTTAAAAACTGGCAAGTTGTGCTTTATAGCTGCCATGCTAAAGCAAGCATCCAGGGCAACATGCACCCACTGGACACAGGCTCAAGTTCTTTATAGGTGGGCAACTATGTAAATTAGAGATACTTAATAAATAAAACTGCAGCAACACAGTAAGTGATGTGTTTTGAAATAGTGTCTGTTGTACTTAACCCAAGGAAGGACTCACATCCTCCTCAAAAGAAATGAAAACTTCCCTCTCTGACAAGGTACTTACTTCATCTAATGTTTTATCTTCCAAAGCTGTTAAATCTATCAGAGGGTTTTTTACTCCTTGAGACACCATTGTTTTTAACCCTATATGAAAGGAGAAGAAAGAAAAGACCATAAAAAACTATTTAAACAAATATAAATAACTGTGGGATTATTAAGTTACATTTGCCTTTTAAAAGGAGAAGCCACTGCTTTTGTGGATATCTGTGCATCGCTATGACTGGTAACTTTCAACCCTTTCCAAAGTCTCCTTTAAAATAGGAAGCTTGAAAAGCTATTGCAAAAGATTATCTTACTTGACTATAGGAATGCCACCAGCTTCTACAAGTCAGTGAGTACTGTTCTGGGGAAAAAAACGAAGATGCCTATTTCATGCACAAGTACAGTTACAGTAGAAACTGGAGACCTTGCCTTCATGTTTCTTGTAATTTTGCCACTCGATACTGTCTTGTGTAGCGTGGTTATGTAAATCATCTCCCTATTTACATGATAGTTTTTGCATGTGAAGTGTCGTAGAATTCCTAATATTTTATTTCTGTTAGACAGAATTCATGCACATTAARGAGGGGTGTTAAATGATCTTCTCTCTCCATATTTCTGTATAATCACAGAACTACCTCAAAAAATAAGTATGAATTCTTAAAAATCATCTGAGCCTTTCTAATAAAGGCTGAGAGAACAGTTATCATTCTGCAAATAGGATCCACGTTTAAATAGGATTCTCATTTGTCTATTGCTAAAAAAAAATCAAGTTAAAAAATAAATAATCAAGATTCACCTSCGTTAAGTCTCATGTTAACCATTTTATTCCTTAACAATTCCTTAACAAGTCTCATGTTAACAATTATTCCTTAGTAACAGATTATGGAGTATAACCAAAATTGCAAGATAAGATACTAGGGGAGTTTGTCGCTGAGTTGTTATTTCATGAGCTGTGGAAGGGTTATTTTAGTTCTAGCACTTTCCAAAGGCTAATTTGTTTCAAGGAATGTATCAGATGGAATAATTCTTCATTATCAGATGCACCAAGAATAGGAAAGCCATAGCTGCCTTTCAGTGACTATGCGTAGCGCTCATTTCACTTTGACAAATGAGATTTTCAATAAACAGCTATCAGAAAATTCRGACTTGGGCTTTGTTAGGTTACTAGATCATCTTTGAAGCTCTATAATATAGCTAAGATAAGAGCTTACTAYAGATGCGGAGTCAAAATTCTTACCTTTTTCATCCAGTTTGGCACACTCTGCAAAAAGGTCTTTTGAGCCTGTGTTGAGCCTATCCCGATGGAAGTAATGAGACTGAAAAAATCGTGTCCAGAATTCCCTCTCTGTCATGTTATGTGGAACATTTTCTGCGTATTTCATTTTTACTGCAAACAAACAAGTGATTTTTACGAAGTGTCTGGCAAATTGTAGTATTATGCTATGTTATGTTAACCATTCCTTGCTTTCTAATACTATATTCAATTAAGAGAATATAATGAGGATGCATAGTTTAACACCAGCAAACAGATGCTGTTTTTTCCCCTGCAATCTTCTAAAATCTTTTTATTTTCTGTGGCAGGGAAGATTAGGCAGCAGAGGTGGAGAAAGGGAGCAAAAGCACATTACAGAAACTCAAATATTCTATTTTTATTTGCACAAAATAATGTTATTTGCTAGAGTTTGGTGTGGGTTTGTTGTTTTTAAAGCATTGMACACTATTCTCAAGCTAGAGCTCATTTCTAACATAGGGCCAAAATGAATCGTGTCAACAATACAGCAGAGGGGAGGGATGGAAATTACCACCTTTTCATCCTAAATGTTATTTATTGAAAAAAAAAGTAACAAATTATTAAAAACCTTTAATATAGGAAGATATTTGTTATGCAAAGCAGTATTCTTACCTGCAGGATATGTTCGAAATATGGATTCAATGATATCTGAAGTTAAATTGTACCTCAGACCATTGCAGCCATCTGTTTGAGGCCGTACATCAGCCTACAAAAAAAGCATACAGGGACAGAAAACAGTTAAGTCTGAATTCCTCCTGTAAACAAAGGCAGAAAKGCCAGGCAGCTTGTCAATCAAATGCTGCTACAGATAAAATAATTAACTTCTTCCTAAAGTCCACAGCGTATAAGCATATATGCTTATAAGCATAGCATATAAGTCATAAGCTAGGATTTTAGGAATTAAAAAAAAGGCACATATTAGTTACAATATACAAGTCACTTAAGGGATGATTCAGAAACTAGACTGTATCAGTGAAATGGATTTTAAAGACAAGATGGAAAGTAAAGACCAGTCAAAACAAGGTATACTGAGTTTAATATATCCTTGTTTAAAAAAGGCACATTTACTGTATATGCCTAATCTTCTGTTGTTCATTCAGCAATTCAGTTAATGAATAATTGATGATGATGTGACAAAAGAGACCCATGGCTCTTAYACCTCATTTCTTTATATATTAAGACTACCTCAGTACAACTGATAAGTATTACAATTTAAAAATGGAGGGGAAGCCTCAGTCTGAACTTGGACGTTAAAATTGTGTGCTTCAGGGAAAAGGGCTCAGCGCAGTTCTCAGTAACAGGGAGAAGTAGGTGAGTGCAAGTGCTGCCACCTTTTCATCTTTTTTTTTCCCCCTGTACATTTACCTTCTGGGTTTTGCACCATATGATTTCTAGAGATGCCTCCATTCCCAGCATAGCCATATAAATACTTTAACTTGAACTGGGACACACATATATCTGATTTTTTTTCTTAATTTTACAAGTGCAGACTGCACAAACACAACTGGCTATTTTAAACAAAATTTCAATTTTAATTTTTTTTATTAATGTCTGAGTAGCTTATAGTTGTACATTTGTAAGAATAGTGGGAGAAGGGAAATGAGGAATTAAGTTTCTTTGATTCAGGTGTTTCTAGGCAGAAAAGCTAATATTTCTGCAGCAGTGAAGTTAGAAAATGAAAACCACCCACTTCCTCTTCCCTTCCCAAGCCCTTGATGTAGTCATGCAGGCGTTAGAGGTGGAAATGGTTTCCAGCTAGTCTGTCTAAGCTCTGTGAATTCCGTCGCAGGAGTAAAAACACATCTCCACAGGAAGAATCTGMGACTTGTACTTAGATTACAGCCTGATTGCATTTAGACTACCAAGATACGCTCTCTACAAATGAGTAACATAACAGACCCAGACAAAGAGGGAGATAAAACAAGCTTTCAGATACACAGGTGTTTCTCAAGTAGCTGAAAGCATGTACTGATTTAAAAAAAAAAAAAAAAAAAAAAAGGGGGGGGAGTATTTTGCATTGGAAGTCTTCCTTTATGCATATGGATGCTGCAACAGATGCCCCTTTAATTTGCTGCATTAACATTGGGTTTTCTCTGTTTTTCTTGTCCTACGGAAGGCAGAGCTCACTGCCGCTTTAAGTTCAAATGAAGCATCTTCAATTGTCTGAATTTTGAGGTTGGAGTGTCAGATATAAAACCTTTATTTTTTCCTCCCTCCCTTACCTTTGCAATAGTTTAAACACATGAAGAAGTTTTATTTATGAAACCAGGAAGGAAGAACCTTGACACATACAGGAATAAAGTAAACAAGTGATAGAACTCTCCCTTCTCCCAAGTTGTTTGCACCAAAATCCTTTATACTAGAGGCTCAACATACCAGAAATGCTGCAGAGATGCCCACTTCCTGCTTACTAGGTGCTGCAGAATTATCCACTGCATTCAGGCTCAAACGGTTGGCCCAGAACTCTTCAGCACTGATTACTTGGCTCACAACAAGGTCTTTATAAAGCTGAAACAAAACAGGATCTTCTTGCAGCATTCTGGTAAAAGAATGTATTGAATATAATTGATATGCTGCAGAATAAATTACTAGGATTTCCATAACTAACATGGGTTCACAAATGGAACAGAAGCTAATTGTCTTCCCAAATGCTGTGCGTTTCTTAAAAATAGGCAAATGACCAACCTCTATAGCTGTACTTGTCTCAAAAGAACAAAGAAAGGACTAGAAAATATGCTTGGGGAACAGTAGTAAATGTTAGAAGATGGTAACTTTTAGGATGAGATTAATGTGGGATTCATGCCTCAATCTTAAACATTCTGTAGTGCTCTCGTATCTTTGCATGCTGCAGTCTTTTGTGTCTTTTGAAGGGCAAAAATACACCAAATTTTCTTGAACTTCTGTAACAAAGGTCTAATGGGGGAGGGGACTTCAGTGCTAATCCATTTCTTTTGAATCTTAAATGTCAGTAGTTACAGGACTCAGTGCTAGTAGAAGAGGACAGAGAGGAATATGCACGGATTAAGACACTGTRAAACACAGGTTACTTTGTTTGTTCACTTACATTCCTCTTAGTGAGATGCCACTGGAGGATCCCTTAACTAGAGCACGCAGCACAACTGCTGCAGATGCATTTCAAGTTCAGGGCTTACCCCAGGGAATAATGTCTATCAAAGTCAGCATCCAATTAACAGTTATTACCTTTACAGGTATYCAAAATGCAAAACATGTCTGCACTTGAAACTTCACTTAGCTCATGTTTAAGCTGCTTTTTATGCAGCTATATGCACATTTGGTGCCTAGTAGTTGTTTTCTGGGAAAGCTGTGTATGTGGAGAATCAGTCAACAATATCAACAATTTTGAGTGTGCAACTCTGACTTGGTGGCTTACAAACAAAATCATGGGAGTCTTAGGAACATGCAGAAAATAGTATGTGGCCTGGGGAAGAAAACTGGAGTACTGCAGTTTGGTCTGAATAAAAATGTAAATACCCCAAGGAAGATGCTGGATGAGGTGGAAGCACTACCTTTCTGTGGCAGGACATCAGTAGTGTKTTTCCTTGATATAATTATTATTATTGTTTTTCTTGCTGATGCAAATACACATTGGCAATTTCTACAAGTTAGTGTGCAGCAGGAAGCAGTCTGTTAATTTGAAATATATCACTACAGCTTGAATTTTGGTACATGCCTCACCTCTATGTATCAATAAATGGAAGATGTGCCACAGGCTGTGGATGTAGTAGAAGATTTTAAAAGAGACTGTTTGGCCCTATCTGTTGCAGATCAAGCCAATGGAACTACTAGACTCTGACTTGTAATAGTCAAATGAACAGGCTGTGACCAGGTGCAGAAATGTTGGCTTTTCTAAAACCAGAAAATGCCTTCATGTCACATGGCATAACACTTGAAAACTCCACTTAAAGGGTACAAAGATTCAGCATTAAGACTGTTCATATATTCAGTACTGCTAGAAACAAGGCAGGTAGCATAAAGAGGCTATGACAACAGTACCAAAGCACCGTCTCAAGGCGTCAGAGCACCAGCACAAGAGCTTATGCGGTAATGCTGTCCCCTTCCACTTGTTTAGAAACATCTGGTTTAGAAAAATCGAACATCTCATCTACCCTCTGAAGTGATACTCGTATCTTTTGGAAATACTAGCTTTAACATTTCTAAGGTCAAAGCTAGAATTGTCTTTGAAAATACTGCCTGGGAGCTAACAGATATGGGATTCACAGGAGGTATGAGCATGAAGTGAAACTCATGTGGGGAGACACAGAGAAGCATTCCCTGTGGCCACAAGGACCGGTTTAACAGAAACTCTGTAAGGCAGGAGAAGCTCCAGCCCTTTAGGGAAAAGGGCTTGGGCCTGAATATCTTAACCAAAAGCTTCTCAAAATAATTATCCTGCCTGCAAAATAGCTACAGTCACATCTCATGTGAGATGAATAAAAAAGGCCTAGCAATTTAGTAGAGGATATCAAATATCAGAAAATAAGGAAATATGGGAAAAAAAATAATAGTGAGGGTGACAGAGCACTGCAGCAGGTTGCCAGGAGAGGTTGTGAAGTCTCTTCCTCTGGAGATCTTCAAAACCYGTCTGGATGCAGCCCTGTGCTCTAGGTGTCCCTGTGGGTGCAGGGGGGTTGGACTAGATGAGCTCTAGAGGTCCCTTTCAACCTTAAATATTCTATGGTTCTATGATTCTATGGAAGATTTCAGGCAGGAAGAATTAACAGATCAAGGAAGGTGTAAATTTTTGGGAGGAGGGAAAAACAGTATTTCAGTCAGCTTTTCTAACACGGTGCATATGTGTGACAGCCTGCCAGTCGGGTGCTTGTATCTCACAGTCCCAGGTAACGGGGCTGAGCGGCAGCAGGGCTGGCTGCCTTCGTGCCCAGGGAACGTGTTACTGGGGAGGCCAGTCCCACGTCTCCACACGCACCGCACTTAGGGAAGGCCTCGGGAACCCCACGGAAAGCAGACGGCTCCACTATGGAAACAAACGCAACATTTCCAACCACGTTCATTGCATCATGAGCAGCGTTGCAATACAACACAAGAACTGTTAACAGAAATACACTACAGCTACATAAGAAATTGAAAATAGCTGTGTTTGAAGGCTTCCCCTTTACCTGTTCTTTTCCTCAAGTTCTTTATTAGCTTTCCTTTTGAATTTGGGCAACAGTTGTTGAAGAAGATCCTTTACTGCATCTCGTTCCTTCACTGCTGTGCTTTCATTGGAGAAGTGAAAGTTGGTTGTGTCCCCTGCATGCAACACTAGCTGAAGCTGAATTTTAGCTTTACCTTCAGGACTGATTTTCTGGCCTAGATTACACAGAGAGTATTAATTAGCAACAGGCAGTAAGCTTATGTAACAAACTGTCTTCCCTGGAGCATTTGCTTATGAGCAGTTATCCACATCATCCAATTAAATATCTTTACCCTGGGTGTGAATTCCAGGCAGGAAAGTGGGACATACAATCTTCTCCTTATATTAATTTGAAAGCTCCACCTCCTTCCCTAAACCACAGGGCAGCAGCCTCAGCTGTGTATTATTCAGTATCCCTCAGCCAGAGCTCAGAAGCCCAGCTCCATCTCTGCATTCCCACATGCTCTATTAGAAAGCCACAGCAAATTAGACTGTCATCACCAAGATGTTTAATGTAGTAAGAGCTCAGGCTGCTGCTGCGAGGTGACAACCTCATTCTTCCTTTCTGCTTCTTCCTGGCGCCTTTCTCGAGCTGGGGTTAGYGTCTGCGCAGCAAGCCAAAGGAAGGAACTCATCTACTCAAAAGTACCTCTCCTCCCCCCCCCTCCCCCCCCCTTTCTTTTTTCAGAGCTGGATCAGTTCCTGCAAAAGAGAAGTGGTAAGAAGGCGGATGCAGGAGGCAGCAGCAGCACAGCAGAAGGTGCTTTGCTTTCAGGCATCAGGTAAGCACAGTCACCCAGGGGCCCTCCCAAAGGGCTCAGCAGGGTCACCAAGGTGCTGCGGCACCCTAGCGACTCACGGGAAACCCACGGAAACCCTCGCGGGAAGTGATACTGAAACAGCTGTGCTGGCCAACTGCTTTATGGTAGTGACTTCAGCACAGTACTGTACATGGCATCTACATAACTTAACACTCCTGAATCCTTCTTTACGGAGACTAGGAGACGGGAACCAAATGTCACCACTAAATCATGGAGTCCATTACAAATTTACAACTACTCCATTTTGTTCAATTCTGTATAACAAAGGACATTAAAGTTAGGCTTCTGTCTTGAAACATTTCATATAGATATACTGCCCAAGTATGAGGCTAAACTGATAGATAAAATCTCTACAAAATTGGATATTGTAGGTGAACAGACATCTGAACATATTATATTTATGTTCAAGGAAACAGCATTTTAGTGTTGAATCTCCACCCACCCTTTTGGCCATGCTGCAGTACCTGGAGGTGACTTTACACAGCAATATGCACTGGCCCTTCTCCAAGAGAGCAATGCATACAACAATTCCCCTTTTCTTCTTCCATTTTTTTTTCTGGCATTAGAACTCATGGAACATGAACGCTAATTGGAGCCAGACAGGCAGCATAGTATAGACATTTACTGTTCACTTTTGACTTGCAAGTACTATTACAACAGCAGCTATTTATTCAGTGATTTACCAGTCAGGCCCAACTACAGAAGCTTGCACTTCTGAAGCTGTGGTCTGGTGGATGAAAATAAAACAGTGAGGTTCATTTTATATGAAAACTGAAGCAGCTTTAGAGGCATCGTCTAACAGATGACATGCTGGAGAGTTTCTATCTTAAACCCTGAAAATCCTGTACTATTCCTCAGCCCTCCTCCCACCCTTTCCTCCACAAACATATGGCATAGATTATTTCTCTGTTCAATTTACTGCAGAAGTTTACCCAAAGTTGCTGGCAARTGCAGTATACCTTACGTAGCTGAAGATGACAGGAGCTGTGCAGAAGCTGTGCTGCACCTCCCTTACCCTGCTCCTCACTCACCGTGGCCCAATCACTACTGCTGCACAGAACAGGCTAGTGCAGCCCCAAACCCTCGACAACTGCCCAACTGCTTCACAGCAAATAAGCCTTGGGTTGCATTCAAGCAGCCACTGAAGCACTGCACACTGAAGCAGGCACGGAAAGCTCTTTGCTTACATTTGATGTCCGCATACATGTGGCTGACTGTGAATCGGTCTTTGCCTTCGGGCGCCCACGCTATCCTCTCGGCCATCAGGTACAGCGCCCCATCCTGCTTCTTCTGCCGAACCTTCTTCACGATCAGCAACACTTCTTCAGATGACGTTGCCATGGTGGCTCTGGGAGCTGTTGAACACACAGGTAGAGATGATTGCTACCATTCTCCCCCAGGTAACTTTCTTGCTATTTCTGTCTATTTCGAGGAATTACAACCTGCATTCACACCTTAATTCTGTCATGGGCTTTGGACTTTCCTCTGGCAATGCCAACAGCAACTTKATTTAATTAATTATGTTGCTAATGCTGCTTGTGGTCCAAGACAAAGTCCCACAGATCTTACATTTAAACCAACACCTAGCTTGCCCTTTTTGGATGCTTCTCCACTCRTTACTCAAGTTCAGAAAAAAACCCCAAACCTAGTGAAAAAGCTGTATTCCAAACATCCACTGGCATTCGGCAACATCTCTCTTCCTTAGTATCAATGGCAGATGTTAAAGTATTTCAGAAGAAGGAGCAATAAAAGACACGSGAGAAAAATGACAGTTTTCAGATTTCCTCTGTATGCAGCATAACCTGGTCCACTTACAGGACTATGGGGCTCTTTTTCCTGTTCTCTCCAAGGCTTGAGCAGTATTTCATAGGCTCGATTCCAGCTAGGCCCTTTCTTACCTCCTCCAAATGCTGTGTGATTAACGTTATACCTGCTTCTAAACAAAGGGGACTGTGTTACCAGTTGCACATCAGCAAGCCTTCYTCCTAGCAGCCATCATCTTCCTCCTTACATATGCACTCAACAACCTTAAATTTCTCAAGAAAATAAGAACATGCTTAACTGTCCGACTGCTCTATTTCGTACATCATAATCTTTTCTACTGTTACATAAAATGCTAATAGAAATGGTTAGAACATCTACGCATSTTTCATATGTTCTAGAGTATCTGCAATATTTGCAGCTGCCTGCAGCAAAAATCAAAATGAAACYTGCATTAGCTATCACTGTACACTCCCAACAGGGACCAGGAAACAAAATTCCAAAGAATTTAATTCATATATGTATTTTTTATGCTAAAAGAATGGGATATTTTGCTTTGCCAGTCTGAAAACTGTCATAGCATGCTCTTTGGCAGAAGCCCGACAACCCAGTCACTGAGATGCATTAAGCACCGTCCTAAATGGAAAGATATTTAATAGCAGAACATCCCTGCACTTAAGCTTTGCTCCTTCATCACCTCCGTCAGCCTGAGCTCTGCCAAAGGCTCGCGCATGGGGTTTCCCGGCAGCACCGCTGCACCCGGCTACGGCTGCGCTCTGCGGGGAAGCCGCGGGCGCAGCCGGAGCAGGGAAGCGGGCCTGGCGCTGCTGCGGCAGCCCCAGCAGCCCTGCTCTCTCCCAGGGCCACCGGTGCTGCCCTTCCACTTGGGATTTCCTGCAGGGTCCGTAGTCTCTTCTGCGTGAGACCGAGGGGTTTGACTTTGCTCCCCTCTGTGAATTCCGAATCCTCAGTTGGGCTCCCTGTGATGGAGCATGGCGGCACCACGGACGCAGCAGGGAGACGGGAGCGGAGCGCCCCGGCAGCCAGCCCGCTCTGCGCAAGCTGCTTTGCTCTGCCACCCACAAGCTGCTTCCCTGCTAGGAGAGCGCGCYGGGGGCTCCCGTGCCGGGCGGCCGCTGCCCCGCGCCAGCTCCCTGCCGCCCTTCCTCGTGTCCTCRCTGCCGCGGGCAGCAGCCTGTGGCGGCCCTCCGGCTGCGTAWATCCCATGCAGCAGCACCTGGAATAGGGACTGCCGCGGTGGCCTCACAGCGAGCTGGGGGGGCGGGAGGAAGAGCAGGATTCGGGGTTTACACAAGTTGGCACCTTTTGCTGATGGAAACAAGATGGCTCCTKGGGTGAAGGCCGAAAAAGCGCCGCGAGCAGCCCGCAGCCCCCCGCTAGGGAGGCGCCGGGGCACGGAGCGGCCGCGCGCCCTCCGCACGCGGGGGTCCCCGCGGAGGGGCGCGCGAGGCACCGCGCGCAGGAGGCGGCTGCGCCGCCGGCTCGCG